GAAGATGATGAAGGGAATGTTCGGGAAAAGCCGAGACAGAGGACAAAACCCTCAGACCCTAGCTTGCCAGCCCACGAGTGGGGGGACAAGGCCACCTCCCCAGCCAGTGCCCCAGAGTAATTGTGGGGACCAGTCAAGGCAGCGCAGGGGACAGGCAAGCATTGTCCCATGAGAGGGGTTACCCGGCAGTGTCCAGCATGAAAAGCTGGCAGAGCTGCCTGAGCTCAAGTGACAGTGAAGCCCCCAGGCCGGGCTTCCAGAGGACAGCATGGGCATCCTTTTTTTTTTTTTAAGATTTATTTATTCATGCATATAAAACTGGAGTTAACTCCCAGAGACAGAGTGAGGAGCAGAACAGGCTGACTGATGAAGCACACTGCTGAGGGGAGCAGGGGGCGGGTCAGGGGAGGTCTGCTGTGCCCTGTGGGTCACCTCCGGGGCAGGTGGGGATCAAACTCATGTGGAAGTGGCTTTAGCTTCTCAATGCTGTGCTTTAACCTGCTGCGCCACCAGGGAGGGCCCGCATCCTTTTTTTTAAAAAAAAAAACAAAGTTTTCTTTTTTTTTATGCAGACAAGAACTGGGGTGTAGGCCAGAAGTGTTGGGGGGGGAGGGGTGAGAGGATTCACTGAGACAGAATGGAAAGCTGAACAGGCTGGTCCACTGAAACACTGCTGAGGGGAGCAGAGGCTGAGACAGGAGAGGTCTGCTCTGCCCTGTGGGTCAGCTCCCTGGCCGGGGATGGAACTCATGTCCCAGTGGCTGGCGGAGGCTTGACAGTGCTGAGACGTTAACTCTGTGCCACCAAGGAGGCCCAAGCACGTGGTTCTTGACCAAGAGGGAGCCCGCGGCCATTTTGGGGAGTCAGAGCCTCGATTAAACCCATGTAGGAGACCTCACATTTGACATGAAAAGATTTTAGAATGAAGCATGTTGAGGCCCAGAAAACACTGAGCCTTGGATGGAGACAAGGGATTGGTGAGACCTTGCATGGTTTTTCTCAGCAGATTCTCACAACCGTCTCTGGACTGTGCATATGAAGGATATTAGGTTTGATGGTGGAACAGGTTTGTGCTGCTTCTCTCTCCTGCTCTCTCCGTTTCTCTCTCCCTCAGAGGGAGGCAGCTAGGAGGTCCATTCCCACTCAAACTACTCATCAGAACCAATTAGGCTCTCTTGTGACTTCTCCAGCTAACCCTTGAGGATCACAGTGGCTTCCCGTCCCAGGCTCTGAGGTGCTGGGAGGTGGCGCTGGGAGGAACACGGCCCGCCACAGCCTGGAGACTGGGATTTGGAGAGTGGGATGATTTCTGCTTGGCCTTCTCTCAGAGTTGGCCCTCTTCTGCTCCCCACCCCCCATGTCCCTCTCCTCCCTCTGGGCTCCTGAGGCGAGAGGAGCCCTGGGATCCTAGGAGGTCCCACGCTCTGGAGGAGACAGCGGCCTGCCCTCTGGCTGTCTCTCCTGAGGTGACATCATTCCCCCTGGGGCTGGGAAAGTTGTCCTGCTGGCTCCTGTCCTGGTCCCGACCCAGCTGATGCTCCTGCTCCCACTTCCCCTGCTCTCCCTGTTTCCCACACTCAGCTTCCTTCTTCCTCCTGTCCCCACCCCCCTCACAGCTGCTTTCTCACCGGAACACAGACTGAGAGAGTGGACGAGGGATGATGGCCTTCCCTTTCCTTCCCCTCCCCTGCCCCCTGAGGGTGGAGGCAGAGAGAAGGAACAAGACAAGAGATGTGGGGTCCTGACCTTACAGGTGTTAGGTTTCACTGAGGAAGAAATGTTCTAGAAGTTCTTAGGAAGTGTTTATTTTTTTCTTTTACAGACTATTTATGCATACAAGAACTGGGGTACAGGCCAGAGGCATGGGGTGGGGGTGAGAGGATTCACCAGAGTGGGGAGCAGAACAGGCAGATGTACTGAAATACACTGCTGAGGGGAGCAGTGGGCGAGACAGGAGGGGTCTGCTGTGCCTTGTGGGTCACCTCTCTGGCTGGGGATTGAATTTGTGCTGCAGTGGCTGCAGATAGCTTCACAGTGCTGTGCTTTAACCCCCTGCACCATGAGGGAGGGTCCCCTAGAAGTTCTTAGGAAGTCTTAAGGTGATAGCCAGAATTCACCTCTAAACCACGCATAAGCACACTTTCCTCCTCTGGTCTGCCCAGTAGGTATATGAAGCTGGAACTTTTATTCTCATTTTAAAGTGTAGACAAGCTGGGCAACAGCATTTAAAAGAGCTGCCCGCATCATAGTTACATGGCAGAACTGGGATTTCCTTTCTGTGCTGCTTGTCTCCAGAACCCAAGATCTTAGCCAATCCAGAGTGTCCTTTTCCAGATGGACATAATCTCGGCTCTTGTTTACTTAAATGGGCCTCGGCTGTATGCACAGCTCTGACTTCATACATACCCACACACTCATTCTCACTGGAAATGTCAGCATTATTTCTGAAGGATTTTTCCATACTGGAAGCGAGTGAATGGGGTCATTTCATTCCTGCAAACCTGACCTGGACTGTGTTTCAGCTCTGGAAGGCAGCTAGCAAGCTCAGACTCTGCATCTCTTCGTGAAATGACCTTGAAAATGACCCTAACTCTTTCTGTGTAGCAAGTTCTGTCTGAGGGCAGCCAGCAACTGGAGAGACTCTTTCTGTGGCCTGTGGGCATGTAGCAAGTGGAAGTCTTAACTGGGCAGCAGCTGGAGCAGGCGCAGGACAGGACACAGCCTGCCCAGGGGGTTCAGAGGACAGCCCAGGAGGCCGCAGGGTGCAGTGTGCCTGGCGTTGGAGTCCAGCTTGTGGACAGTGGGTCTGGGCAGCATCCTCCCGGCAACACAGAGTCTCCAGAGGCTCCCAAGTGGGAGCACATTGATGGGGGAGGGGGGAGGTTGTGGGAAGACTGATGGGGCCTGGGAGTTGTTCCAGGAGGCACTGACCTTCCAGGGGATGGAAAGGCAGAAAAGATACCCTTTGGCAGAGGAACGGGGTGGTGGGAAAATTAAAAGTGAGGCTCCAGACTGGGGTGAAAGCATGAGGAAGGGGGCAGATACAGGGAAGCAGAGGAGAAGCAGTTGGGGGGCCGTGTTCCCCCCAGCGCTACCTCCCAGAGCCTCAGAGCCTGGGACGGGAAGCCACTGTGATCCTCAAGGGTTAGCTGGAGAAGTCACAAGAGAGCCTAATTGGTTCTGATGAGTAGTTTGAGTGGGAATGGACCTCCCAGCTGCCTCCCTCTGAGGGAGAGAGAAATGGAGAGAGCAGGAGAGAGGAGCTTGGGGCTCAGCGTGTCTACTGACTGGGCTCTGAGTCCCCCCAGCCATGGCTCGGCCGGCCGTCTGAAAGGAAGGGTCGGGGCCATCAGTCAGCTGGGCCACCTCCCATAGTGTCTCTGCTGCCACCTCCCCACTCCAGAGGACCTTGCCGAGTCTGGTAAGCCCCAGGGCTGTCTGGCAAAGCGGCTTCTCATTCTGGGGAAGGTACAGCGTGGGTGATCCGATCCCATACTCAGCAAAGGCCTCCGGGCCTGGGGCCTCAGCGACGGTCCCCTACTGCTGTCGCCCTAGCAGAGCCTGGCCCAGCACCCCCTTTCCCCCACCAGGCCCAGGGGTGGCAGGAGGAGGGTTTGACCTCCAGGCCTGAGGGTTCAACAGCCAAGCAGCAGGCAGAACCAATCTGCCTATTCTCCCCACCCCACCGTCCCTCTACCTTGCAGGCTTAGCTCGGGGCATTAGGAGGAGCCTGGGAGGTAAGATGATCCCTGTGGGTCTCTGGGGGGCTTAAGAACAGATGGTCCCAGCACGCTGGAGGTTTGCTGCCTGTAACCTGAGTCGGTCTGGGAGGGAGCTGGCCAGACCCAGGCAGCTTGGGCCTAGGGACAGGGAACTTGGTGAATGTTATCAGGCCAAGCATCCCCTCCCCAGTCTCCAAACTCGGCTCTCACCCAAGTCAATCTCTCAGCCCCTTCCAGCTGGCACGGGGACTGGGGTCCTAGACACCCACAAAAGGATGGGGGATCTGGCTCCCTATGTCCCCACTCCGGGCCAGCAGCAGAACCAACTGGGCTGAGAGGACAGGAAGAGTCAAAACTGGAGCCAAGCCTCGAGCAGCTGAGAGAGGACAGGTGTCCGGAAGGGGAGCAGGCTGGAAGAGCTGGGCAGGGGCTGCCACGGGCCACAGGCGCAAGCTTCCTGTCCTCCCCCTCCCAGTCAAGCAAGCAGATGTGAACAGCCAGGAAAGGAGCCCCAGCCTTCACTCCCCGACCCCCCTCGACCCCCCCATCTGAGCACCTCCTCTTCCGCTACGGCTCCCCTGGAAGTTAGCAGGCAGCGTTAGGAGTGAGGTCCCTGCATCTGGGGCCACCCTGTGAGCAGAGTGGATCTAGGTTGTTCCTTCTCCCCTCCTGTGGCCCACTGGTTCATTAGAGTGAGAACAGCACCCTCACCCCCACCGGCTTACAAGAAAGAGTATTTAGCACAGCTCCTTGGCACACCTGGCGCTTACAAACTGTCTTTGTCCTCATGGTCTCTGGGAGGCTCGGGAGAGAAAGATGGTACTGAGATAGCCACCAGAGCTTGGTGCACCTTACTGTCTCTGCATCTTGACAGGTTACTTACGTGCCTGCTTTCTCATCTATAAAGTCGGGGCAATAATAGTCACTACTGCAAGGAGTGGTTGGGGAGATGATAGATCAGTTGCTACACAGGCTTTTGTGCACACAGGTCTCCCTGTATGTGGCTTAGGACGGTGACTGCCCTGTATGTGGCTTAGGACGGTGACTGCCCTGTATGTGGCTTAGGATGGTGACTGCCTTAAGGAGTTAGCTGCTGTATCATTTCCTTTAGCCAGCCAGATCAGGGTGTAAATTCGTCCTTTCCCAGACCCTGCATACAGAGGGGGCCAGTGGCAGGCTGCCAGGCCCCTAAAGGGTGTGTTGGGGAGGGGGTCTAGCTTCAGGGCCAGTGAAAAGCAGCCCGGGTCCCTACCCTCCTGGGCTCACTGGCCTGTGCTTTCTCCTCCCAGATGTCCATGAAGGAGGTGGGCGATGGCTTGCAGGATCAGATGAACAGCATGATGGGGGCCCTGCAGGAACTGAAGCTCCTACAGGTACAGACGGCCCTGGAACAGCTGGAGATCTCTGGAGGGGGTCCTGCCCCTGGCTGTCCTGAAGGCCCGGGAACGCAGCCCCAGGCTTCTGGATGGGAGGACAGCAGAGATCCAGCCAGACCTCCCTCCAGCCAATCTTCCCCAGTGGGCAGCAATTCTGCACCCCACAGGAGTGTCTGTGAGAAGGGTCCGACCCCCCTGCCGAGGACACAGCTGTGGGAGCAGCAGGGCCCCCCGGAGCCTGATGACTGGACCTCCACATTGATGTCCCGGGGCCGGAACCGGCAGCCTCTGGTGTTAGGTGACAACGTTTTTGCGGACCTGGTGGGCAACTGGCTGGACTTGCCAGAACTGGACAAGGGTGGGGAGAAAGGGGAGGCTGGAGTGTCAGGGGGCCCCAAAGGAGAGCGGAACCAGCCTCGAGAGTTGGGCCGCAGGTTCGCCCTGACGGCCAACATCTTCCGCAAGTTCCTGCGCAGCGTGCGGCCGGACCGAGACCGGCTGCTGAAGGAGAAACCCGGCTGGGTGACGCCCACCGCCCCTGAGCCTCGAGCCCGGCGCCCGCAGAAGGTCAAGAAGCGGAGCCACGCCAAGGGTGCTGGACCTCTCCCCTTTCCGGGCACTGCGGAGTCCAGGGCCGGCGACAGTCATTCCTCAGGTTGCCCCAAGGCCCTGGAACCTGCACCCTCCGGCTTTGATATTAACACAGCCGTTTGGGTCTGAATCTTAGAGACAGAAATTTGCTGAACCCCGAAAAGGCCAGTCCCCATGCTGGGCCCCTAGGACTGACAGAGGGAAGGCGGAATGGTGCTTAAAAGCCAAACTCCAAATTCTTTTCCTTCCGAAAGGAGAAAGGAGGGGGGAGAACACAGTGCTGGAGCAGGGGACTGCTGTGGGGGAGGGGTGTGTGTGCTTGCGTGCGTGCGTGCGTGTGTGTGTGTGTGTGTGTGTGTGTGAGAAAGAGAGAGAGAGAGAGAGAGAGAGAGAGAGGAGACAGACTGTACTTTGGGGCTGGAGGTGACTGGGGAGGGGCTCTGTGTGTGTGTGTGTGTGTGTGAGAGAGAGAGAGAGACAGAGAGAGAGACAGAGAGACAGAGAGACACAGAGAGGAGACAGACTGTACTTTGGGGCTGGAGGTGACTGGGGAGGGCAGGAGGAGCCCAGGAAGTCCTCGAGACATGTTTTCACTGCCCCCACAGACCTCAGTTCAACACTGGATTAGCACACTGCCAGGAGGACCCCCCACCCCCAATAAACACCTCGTCTCGTGTCCCCAACCTTTTCACTGCGTCCTGGCAAGGAGCGCACCGGGCGCGCCCCTCCCTGGCGCCCCGCAGCCCAGGCGGTCCCCACCGCCTCCCCTCACCGTCTCCCCTCCAGCGCCTGGCAGAGTTCAGCTCACCTCAGACCTGAGAGGCGGCCGGAAGGGAGCGTGTGCGAGGAGTGCTTGCGGGAGAGGCGGGGCGGGCAGAGGTCTGGGCAGCAGTTTCCGTGGCCATTATGTCATTTGCGGGAGGGCAGGTAAGGCGGGGTCCAGCCGGTGTTCGGCGAGAGGCAAGCCTGGATTCGACGGCCCGCGGAGGCGAGTCGCAGCGGGCCTCGCCCGACGCCTCCCCTGGGGCCCCGAACCCCGCCTGCTCGGGAGCTCACCTGGGCCCACGTCTAAAGCTCTATTTGTACCCCGCGGCCCCGAGCCAGGGCGAGGGGGAAGGGCCGGCCGCAGGCCGCTCGCGGCAGCCTCGGCGAAGCAAGTTCGCCGAGAGCTGCGCTGGGCACGCGG